AGTTGATTTTCAGTCATTGGTGGTTCTGGGTTCACAAGGCTTCAGTTTTTCTGTCTCCAGCCTCCTTGGTACATGGAGTATCCTCTAAACAAACCCTAACAGGGTAGGAGAGCTGCCTTTTTAAAGGAAAGCTGGGGCAAGTCCTTGGTAAAATGAAGGATATTGCAGAGGTAGGAATAGTCGCCTACTTTTCATCTGTGTAGAGAACTCCGAAAGCACTAACTTCTTCACCTAGGACCTGTCTGTGTTTGAGCTCATCAGGGAAAGTATGCAGGGCTCTGTGTAGTAAGTCCTAACCTCGCTGAACTGATTGTGCTCCACAAACGTTCTTTATTGAAGACCTCGTTCTGCCGTTGAATGGAGGATGGAGCCAGAGACTTCCCCCCGAACTGACTGTGACTCTAGAACAGTCATGAGGCCATGGGGTTTCTTTTCTTTCTTTCTTTTTTTTAGAGTGGAAGAGAGGGTGAAATGGGGAGACAGGGGGGGAGAGAGAGAGAGAGAGAATGAATTGATGAGAAAGACACATCGATTGGTCATGAGGTTTCTTTTTGATGATCATAACTCATGGTGGGGCTGCCTTCTCCAGTGTCAGAGTCTGTGATATATATGGCTTTGGGCATAAAATTTTCTAATTCCTAGTCCAAGGGAACATCATGAATAAAATTCCTGCAGCTCAGGCATTAGAATTCTTGGTGACCCTCGGCAGTTTTTAAGGACTTAGTGAGATGTGGAAAAATCCTGTTGAAGGTGACGGTTCCCATCTTCATCAATTTATTGGGGGAGGGGGGGATTGCCAAATTACTTTATCTGAAGGAATAGTACAAATGAAAGATACAAGTGGATGATTTGGTACAAGTTAAAGATAAAGGTAACTCCACATGCTGCTTTGGTGACCAGGGAACTCACCCCCGTGGCTGTGGGAAGCCAGCCTAAGGCTTAGCTCTCATCACTGTCCCCCAGGGTGTGCTGGTCAAAGAGATGCTCTGCCCTACCCACACAGGTGGGTTTCATGGTCACCCAGTTCTTTGATGGATTTCACCTGCTCATTCAGATAGTACAGCTCAATGAAGTCACACAGATGAGGGTCATTTTTGTCAGTGGCCAGTTTGTGCAAGTCCAGTAGTGACTGATTCACACTTTTCCCAAGTGGAACGCACACTCCATGGTATTCAGCCCCTTCTCCCAGTCCTCGGGTCTGTTTACTTGATATTCTGGAGGAAGATTCGGCCGCCTCGGTGGTTCTGCAGCTTCATCAGTTTCTCAGCATGTTCCCTCTCCTCATGAGACTGGTGAAGAAAAAATTTGGCAAAGCTCTTCAAAGCTGCATCATCGTGGTCAAAATAGTAAGACATGAGCAGGTAGGCGTAGGAAGTTAGAGCTCCAGGTCCATCTGGCGGTTGATGGCGGCCTCCAAGTCCTGGTGGTCGTTCTGGTGCACCTGCGAGGTGGACGTGGCTGTTACAGGGGCCGGTGGAGGACAGGTGGCTGCAAGGCTGGAGCAGTGGCGGGGGCCTTGGGGCAGCCGAGGGCGCTGTGAGAGGTGGCAGAAGGCTGGAGCTGGGCGGCTGGCTGGGATGGGTGTCCGGCACTGGGCTTTGTCCAAGCACTGTTGAAACAAGAAACCTCGGGCACTCTCGGCAAAGACTGTTCATCAACTCTTGCGGCCCACAATGTTCACACATTTGTAAAGTTCCCTTTACTCTGTGAATCATTTGCCTACCCCTTGATGGTGAGGCCTTTTAGCATTGTGAATTGTACGCAGAGTTAAAGAGGTAACTCCTCTGGGGAGTCGTGTAATTACTGAAAGAGGGAAAGTCTCTTACCACGTCATTGGGAATGGTTGTCCCTAACACAGACAGTATTAAGCCCATTTTGTAACTTTGCTTTTTAGTCATTTGCATCTTATTTGTGTTGTGTGCTTGTTCTAGGCACTGAGAAAGAACCTATATGATTGTCCCTTCCTTCACGGAGCTCCAGTTCTAGGAGAAACAGGCCGATGACTTAAGTATGCTGGGAAAAGTGTTTTCCATTGAATCAGAAACACGGGCGCTGCTTCTGCCCCTGAGAAGGTGGCAGCTTTCACTGCTGTAGACTCAGGACTGTCACCAGATAAAGTGTGTGTGTAAAACTGAAGGAACCATCTGATGACCTGTACATGCCCCCTCTTACAAGAGACAAGACATCTAAATGGAACTGTCACATCTTCATGGAGAAATTAGGATGACGGGTGTGGGTATTTAACAGCAAAGAAATTACAAAGATTAAGGAAAGGCCACTTGAAAACAATTAGACAGCCCTGGCTGGGTGGGTCAGTGGGTTAGAATGTTGTCCCGATACCTCAAGGTTGCGAGTTCCATCCCTGGTCAGGGCACATGCAAGAGTCAACCAGTGAATGCATAAATAAGTGCAACAACAAATCGATGTTTCTCTCTCTCCCTCTTTCTCACTCTCCTCTCTCCCTCTCCCCACCCCTTTCCTCTCTTTCTTTAAAATCAATACATTTAAAATTTTTTTATGTAAAACAAAGAAAACAATTAGACAGAGTGGAGCTTGGTACAGAGGGAGTGGTTCCAAGTCAAAAACCTGTTTTGTAATCATGACTCTACCAGCTGAGTGACCTTGAGCAAGTTAGTTAACTTCTCTGAGCTTCAGTTTCGTCAGCCTAGAAACACCTCTCAGCTGTTTGACAGGGTTGGTATTACTGTATCAAGGGTTGGCAACTTACAGCCCCCAGACCAAATTTGGCCTGAAGCCTGTCTTTAAAAATAAAGTTTTATTGGAATGCAGTCATACTGGCTCATTACAGGTTGTATATTTCTGCTTTCTCGCTGCAATGGCAGATCCAGGAGCTGCGACAGAAACCCTGTGGCCCACAATGCTGAAATATTTGTCAGCTGGCCCTTTACAGAAAGAGTTTGCCTACCCCACTCTCATAGTTGTGAAGTCATGCTGTGCCATTATTAATTCATTATACAGTTGAAATACATATCAGCTGATGGAGGCACGTGGGAGAGGGCGCTCCATTTATTTCACAGGATATATAAGGAAGGCCATGATTTGCTAGATCTTAATCCTCTATCTTGAAGAAGTCTCTCTTTTCATGTTTGGTGAAAATACACTTAACACAGGTGTACTTAGGGCAAAGGGCCACAGCTGGCTTTCAGGTCCTTGCCTGAGTTGTTTTCACTGTTGAGGAAGATGATGGGATTTGAAATATTGTTTGTTTTATGAAAAAATGAACCAGGCTGTGAGCTCATGAGATGGGACTGGGCAGGGCTTGTGATTCAGCCAGTTTCTAGAGCGCCTAGAAATGGGTCAGGCCCCAGTCTGGGTGCTGGGGATGCAGTCCCTGCCCCCCCGAAGCACATTGTGTTCTTCAGATGTGTCCGCCAGGTCATCAGGAAGGCATCAGCAAATACACTGAAAACTGCTGGTTCGATTTGTTCCCTCTGAAGGTTTTATTGTACATTATTTTTTAAAATTTTTAATGATTTTTAGAGAGAGAGGAAGGGAGAGGGAGAGAGAGATAGAAACATCGATGAGAGAGAACATCAATTGGCCACCTCCTGCATGCCCCCCACTGGGGATCTGGCCCACAACCTGGGCATGTGCCCTGACTGGGAATCAAACTGGTGACCTCTTGGTACATGGGTCGACACTCAACCACTGAGCCACACTGGCTGGACAGACATTATTTATTTTTGAATAAATTATACATGCACATGACAAATAATCAAAAGACTTTAAAAGGTAGATGGTGAAAAACAAGTCTCCCTTGTATCCTGACCCCAGCTACCTAGTTTTCCAACTTAGCTGCAACTACTGTTACTGTTTGAGTGACACTGTGTGGATCTACATGTATCTACATTCACATGTACATGTATATTTTCTCATTTCTTTCTTTAAGGTCCTCTGTCCTCACTTTTAACTTTTTAAAATTACTACAGAAAAATTTAACCCTATAAAAACCTTTAGAAATGTTGTAGGTTACCATGTAACCTTTACCTGACTCACCAATGGTGACATTTTACCGTATTTGCTTCATTTTCCTCTCCTCTCCCCCGCTAAGACACACACATTCTATTTTTCTCTCCTCAACTTTTAAAAGTGAAAATAGACCCAGAGACATAGAAGTAGGATACAGACTGACAAACCTCAGAAGGGGGCAGGGAAGAGATAAACCACAGAACTTATATGCATGTATGCGTAACCATGGACATAGACAACAATGCTGGGGATGGGTTGGGGGCGATTGGGAGGAGGGTGTCAATGGGGGAAAAGGAGAAACATCTTTAACAAAAATAAATTAATTTTAAAAATTAAAAGAAAAAAAGCGAATAGTAGATATTACTACACTTCACCCCTTCATGCCTCAGCAGACATCGCCTGAGAACAAGAACATACTCCTACATGTAAAGATAACCACAGTTTTGTCATGCCAGTCCAGAACTGCATCACCAGTACAATATTATCTAAGATCCAGTCCTCACTCAGATTTGCTCAATCATTGTAACAATTTCCTTTATAGCTTAAAATAAAATCCCGGACCTCTCAGGGATCCTTCAGAACATGGAGTTGTCATGCCTGTTGAGTTTTTTAAAGCAGTTGCATGCTTTTGTTTTCTCTTTAGCTTTACCCTCTTTCTGGTCTTTTTTTTTTTATCCTCACTCGAAGACATTTTTCAATTTTTTGTTCAGATAGAGTGGGAGGGAGAGAGGGGAAGAGAGAGAGAGAGAGAGAGAGAGAGAGAGAGAATCATTGATGTGAAAGGTACACATAGAGTGGCTGCCACCCACATGACCCAACCAGGGCCGGGGACAAACTGCAACCAAGGTACGTGCCCTTAGCGGGAACCAAACCCGGGTCTCTCTGGTCCGCGGGCCAACACTCTAACCGCTGAGCCAAACTGGCCAGGGCCAGTCTTTCACTTTTCTTTTCCCCTTTACTTCTTCACCTTTTCTTTTGAGACAGTGTTTCATTTCTGTCACTGTCTTCAGCCCCTGCAGGTGTCGCCAGCCTCAGAGAGCAGGATGGATCTGGACGTGGTGAACATGTTTGTGATCGCGGGCGGGACGCTGGCCATTCCCATCCTGGCATTCGTGGCCTCGTTTCTCCTGTGGCCTTCGGCACTGATCAAAATCTATTATTGGTGAGTTAACTTTGTAATTCCAGTTTTCGAGGGTATCATAAGAGTGTCACCTTTTCTGTTCGTCCTTTTGGCTGTTCAACATTTTATCATGAGTTACTCTGAATATACAGAAAAGTTGAAAGACATTGTGTTTTAAATGTTGGGAGTGTTCTTGAAGAATTGGTGGTAGCTTCTCACCAGGTAACTTGTTTCAGGTTTCCCATAGCATCTTTGCTCAGGAGGCCACCCTCACTCCTAAAACCACTGGCTCCTTTAGCAAGGATTGTGCGCATTTATGGGAATTCCTTTGGTAGTTTCTTGGTCCTTGGATTCTGATCCAGTGATGGTCTGACAGATGCGGTGATGTACACTGATAAATGAGTTAGAAAGAACAGGACCTGGAGAAGGCATATAAGTTGGACAGAATGGCTTCCCATGTGTTCTAAAAGTGTTTCACGGTAAAGTGGCAGAAAGAAAAAGATGTTTCCAAACCTTCTGTTGTTCTTGTACCACCTTGTGACGCTTGCCCTGTCTGTACACCACCTCCGCCTTACATTTTCTTTAGAGTAAATCACTTTTGTAGCTTAAATCCATTTATTTTCAGAGTAATAGAAATATCACTACCTTAAGTGGAAGGCTTGCCATACTAGCCATACATAGCAAATTAATATAAGAAAGCAAAAAAATAAAAATAAAGAAAGCGGAATGCCATTAAACGATGCTCTTAAATTCTAGCCTCGATACTGATACCTACCCAAGATTGTGTCTCCTTTCTCTTTGGTACAAGTCTAAGGTGAGTGTGAAGATGTAGCAGCTCCACGAGCCTTTCTCCTGAGGGAATCAGAAACTTAATAGTTGAAAAGGGAGTAGCTTTCTCACGATGTGCTTCAGGGACTTTTCATGGCCACGGTCCATGTACCAAGTAAGATTGCCCTTCCCACCGCATCCCCTGGAGAAGAAAGTACGGAAATACCCCTGGTTCCTCCGCGCGCCACCGGGAAGCACCCTGAGTTTCTCCGGGACTTCTGGGCGTTCGCACTCCCTCCTGTGCCCGGAGAGAAGGCAGGGAGGCTGGCGTGTGCCCTTTATCTGCCCTCCTTTCAGTCTCCCTTTTGTTTCATTGGAGTGTGGAATTTTCCACCTGTCAGCCAGGCTCTGATCCTTGAAAAGAAGCTAATTGAACAGAAGGGAGCTTTTCTTTTACTCTCTCACTCTTGGGAGGTGGTGACCCCTTCAGAGGCTCACCCAGGACCCACCTCTGCATTGATGAAGCTGAGACGCCAGCTGTTTAAATGCCACGTTCTTGCAGCCCTAGCAGCGGGGGTGCTTTGGGGCCAAGGCTCCCATGTAGCCTGACATGGAGAGGCCAGAGTCCTGTGCCCCACGTGTCCCTGCAGAGACTCAGGACCTCCACACACAGATGCTGTTTTTCTTAAATCAAATTGAAATGGAGAATGCGATTCGGTGCTGTGGCCTGTCCCCATGGCTGTGGCTGCACACAGAAGTGTGATGACACAAAGTCTAGTGCCACGCACTGGTGCGGAACCAGCCTCCATGCTACATAGTCCCCAGTCCACAGGTTCCTTGGGGCGTCAGGAGAAGGCTTTCAGAGTCCAGGTACCCCCTGCAGTGGCCACGGCACCTCCGGTTGTTGACTGCTCTGTCGACTGCAGTGAAGCTTTGGGTGCCTCCTGCAGGAGCTCTGTCCATCCTGTGGAACCGGTTGGCCATGCTCCAGGGACACCTACAGCTGGTGCACTTTTCTGTATGACTTATACTTCAATTAAAAGTTTCTCTAGCCCTGGCCGGTTTGGCTCAGCGGTTGGAGCGTCGGCCTGCGGTACAGAAAAGTTTCTCTAAAAATAACAATGAAGGCCGTGGAGAAATTGGACCCCACATACTCATAGCAGGAATGCAAAATTGTGTAGCCGCTTTGGAAAAATCAGGCAGTTCCTCAAAAGGTTTTTTTTTTTTTATCCTTACTTGACATTTTTTCATTTTTTGTTCAGATAGAGTGGGAGGGAGAGAGAGGAAGAGAGAGAGAGAGAAACATCAATGTGAAAGAGTCACATCGAGTGGCTGCCACCCGCACGACCCAACTAGGGCCGGGGACAAACTGCAACCGAGATACGTGCCCTTAGCAGGAATTGAACCCGGGTCTCTCTAGACCGCAGGCCGACGCTCTAACTGCTGAGCCAAACTGGCCAGGGCTCAAAAGGTTTTTTTAAAAAAGCTATTAAATGACCCAGCAATTTCACTCCCAGGTATTTACCCAAGGGAACTGAAAACATGTCTGCACAAAAACTTGTGAATTTTCAGAGTGGCATCATTCACAGTAGCCAAAAAGCAGCTGATGTCCATCAGCTGATGAAGGGATGAGTAAATGTGGTATATCATATAATGGAATGCTATTTCACCTTAAAAAGAAGTAAAGTCCAGATGCATTCTTTAATATGGATAACTTGAAAACATTATGCTGAGTGAAATAAGCCAGACAAAAAATGACAAATATCCTATGATTCTACTTCTATGAATGAGGTACCTGGACCGGGCAAACCCAGAAACAGAAAGTAGACTAGAGATTACCAGGGCTAAAGGACAGGAAGGAATGTGGAGTTTTTGTTGAATGGATACAGAATTTCTACCTGGCATGATGGGAAGTTCTGTAAATGGATAGTTGTGATGGGTTGATGTACAATATTGTGGATGTACTTAATGGCACTGAATTGTACCCTTAAAATGGTTAAATTGGTAAATTTTATGTTATCTATATTTTACCACAATTTAAAAAAAAAAAAATAATGTAAGTACTTTTCTTCAGAGGTTACTGTAAACTAGAGAAGGCAACGCATGTAAAATAAAGGCCCGGGCCCTGGGAGCCCTTCTGAAAGAGGAGCCCCTGGAGCTTCTTCGGGGCTCCAGTGACGTCTCCTGAAACAGGAGCAGTTGGGCTTTTGTACCAAGATCGTCTGTAACGGATCTTGTTCCTGAGGCATTCTTCCCAATTCACTCTTCTCTTTGTCTCTGTTCTGTACACTTGCAGCTACTTCTCATCTTTGCCTTTGTGATGTTTATGATTTAGAGGTAATTTATTCTCTCTTATCCTTAAACCAAAGAAGTTGGGTTTGTTTGTTTCCCATCTGGGCCATTGGTCTTTCGTCATGTTTAGCTGACCTGGTAGCTTGAGGCGTCTTCTTCCTGCCCTTTCATTGAGAGGATCATTTGAAATTACTGAAAATGTTGGTTCTCCAGCTCCTGTTTCCAAAGCCTAGGTGAAGTTTTCCAGGGGGTGTAGCAATTTAATGAAATACACGGACTAGTACCCAGGAGCCCCACCTGGTAATGAAGAGTTCCTCAAGTCCTGAGCCTAGCTCTCAGGCTGCCTTTCCAGCCTGCCTCCCTTCACTCTGGGTTCAGGTCATGCTTGGTCACCCCGTGCCCTGGCCTCGTGGCACACCTCTCTGCCTTGTCTCCGACTAAACTAAGAGGTGTTGAGTATCCAGGTGCCTAAGCAGCCTCGCCTTTTCTACAGGGTCCTTCCAGCTCTTCCTTAATCTCATTCTTTTTTACTTTTTTTTTTTAATCCTCACCCGAGGATATTCTTCTATTTATCTTCAGATAGAGTGGGAGGGAGGGAGAGGGAGAGAAACATCGATGTGAGAGGGACACATCAACTAATTGGACTGGTTGCCTCCCGCATGACCCCGACCAGGGCCGGGGACGAACCACAACCAAGGTACATTCCCTTGACCAGAATCAAACCCGAGACTCTTGGCTGACGCTCTAACTGCTGAGCCAGACGAGCCAGGGCTTCCTTGATCTCATTCAGCACTTTGTGTTAGAGTTGTAGAGGGTTTGAAGATTACAAAAAGGTAACAGAAAATATAAATTACCCATCACCTCCCAAATCATTTTCTTCAGCGCCTCTTTTGTTCTCAGTACCTCTCCTCAGCTCATCTGTATACAGTTTAAAAAATTATTTTTAACAGAATTGGAATCAATAGTATAAACAAATTGGGTCCTGCCTGGCCATTGTGGCTCAGTGGAGAGAGCGTCAGCCTGAACACCAAAGGGTCTTTGGGTTCGATTCCTGGTCAAGGCATGTACCTGGGTTGCAGGTTTGATTCCAGCTCAAAGCGTGTACAGGAGGCAACCAATCGATGTGTCTCTCTCACATGGATGTTTTCTCTCTCTCCCTCCTTTCCACTTTCTCTAAAATCAATGGAAAAAGTATCCTTGGGTGAGGATTAACAAACAAACAAACAAAGGGTCCTATATTTTCATTTTATATCATGTCATAAACATTTTCCTATTATTGAATAGTCTTTGAAGACCTCATTTTTTAAAACAGCAAAATATTACATTGTTTGGATACATTGTAATTTATGTAATAAATTTTCTATTTGTGGACATTAAGGTATGCCCTGACTGGGAATCGAACCTGCAACCTTTTGGTGTATGAGACAATGCTCCAATTAACTGAGCCACCCGGCCAGGGCTAGAATATTTTTTATGTAATACTAGTAACTACCATTTATTGTATACTTAGCATGTCCTGAGCACTGAACAAAATTTTGTATATGGATTATCTCACTTAATCTTTACCATATCCTCAGTAGAATGCAACATTTCCCATTATTATAGATGAGATTCAAGATCATACAGTCAGTAAATGAATGAGCTGGCATATGAATGAATGAACAAGTTTGTGTTATGGTGCACAATTTAGAATTTTGAAATACGTTTGCTTTGTCATAAGAAGAGGTTCAAGCTAGCCAATTTCATTATATTTTTGATGTTTCGAATAGGTAGTACATTCATTAGAAAAGTACCAAAAGGAAAGTGATAAGAGTCTCCTTCCTGCCTCTGTTGCCTCTCCATTTACTTCTCACTTCTCATGTGTTGCCCACCTCCGCTCCAGATACTCACCTAATAGTGTCTTGTTTTTGCTCCCATGCTTTTAAAAAATTTATTTATTTTTCCTTTTTTGATTTTAGAGTGAGAGGGAGAGAGAGATAGAAACATCAATGAGAGAGAACATCGATTGGCTACTTCCTGCACGCCCCCCACTGGGGATGGGGCCCACAACCTGGGCATGTGCCCTGACCGGGAATCGAACCCACGACCTCTTGGTGCATGAATCAATGCTCAACTACTGAGCCACACTAGCCGGATACTCCCATGTTTTTTTGTGTGCAGATCCAAATAAATATGAATTTATATTCTAATCTCCCTTCCCCTTATTTAAAAACAATTTTTTTAAAAATCCTCACCCAAGGATATTTTTCTATTAATTTCTTTAGATAAAATAAGAAAGAGGAAAGGAGAGGGAGGGAGGGAGAGAAAGAGAGAGAAAAACATTGATGTGAAAGAGACACATCTATTGGTTGCCTCCTGCATGACCCCAACCAGGGTTAGGGATTGAACCTGCAACCAAGGTATGTACCCTTCACCAGGAATTGAACCCATGACTTTTCCACTCCAAGGTCCAGTGCGCTAACTGCTAAGCCAAACTGGCCAGGGCTCCCTTCCCCTTATTTTGTAAAAGGGTTAAACCCAGTTAATGTAGGCTATTTGCTTTTGCTAGACTTGACTACTTCTTTGGTGCAAAGCATACCACAAAGCAAATCTCTGATTGGATTAATCGTCTTTCATTTTGGATTCTTCATGCAGAGAATTCAATTTGTTTAGATGGTAATTTCGTCCTGAAATCGATTTCAGGCCACACTCCAGCACTGCCAAGTCTTACGTAACCAACAGAAGCTGAGCTTTCAACCAGCTGCCATATGTTCCAGCGAATAAAATCAGAGGACCAATGCAGATAGTTCTTAAAAAACAACTTCTCACTCTCAACATCTCTATAAAAAATATACATATATTTTCTGGGAAGAAATAAAATTTTGACCTTTATTGAGCTTATCCACTGGAGTGGAAATAATATCTGTACAAAGTCAAATGTTCATTACTGTAACTTCTGCATCACCATGAAAATCCGAAGAGTTTTTTAAAAAAAGTTAACTTCATCGAAATCCATTACTTCAGAATCCATACCTTCTTTAAAGCCACAGTAACAAATATGGTTAAGACTCAAATGAAGAACTTTGGTTAGTTGGAAAGCTAATTAAACCTGCAGCTTGCTCAAATAGATTTACAAATAGGTAAATTGGTTTCTTACAGAGGTCCAGTCCACTAGAATCACCCCAAAAGTATTTAGGGTCCTGAGATCACAAGGCAGGCATCCTTTGCAGTCTTCTGGTGATTTGTGGGTGTGTGGAATGATACCACACCAGCAGCTGCAGCCTTGCTGAGGATCCAATTCCTCCTCTCCACAAAGAGCAAGTTGCAAGTGACACTACCTTTAAGCCTTTTGATGCTTTTCCTGCCAATCAAAGTGCCTCTGCAGGGAGGTTCTGACCCCAGACCCCAGGAGTCTGTGCTGTCCACGGCAGCCGTTGTGCCCACATGTCCATGGCTGCTCACCCTGGATTTCTGGTGTCAATGAATACGGCCCACCAGACTGCAAGCCAGCGCTCTTGCAGTCAAAGGAGGAAACCACCTTTGTCTTGGCCTTTCGGAGTCCTTCCCAGCCTTACCCCAGCCATTTCAAATTCTGCAGAAGCTCACACAACCCAGGCCGAGTAAGGGCTCCTCAGACCCCCAGTGAGATCCCACCGCCGACTCCTCCTCTGCACCGCCATTCATCTGCTAGAATATGTATTAACAAGAGGTTATTTTGTGTCGTGCTCCTAAAGAAAACACCCCTCACCCCCTTGCTAGGTTAGAGTGATTGTAGTAACACGCATACCGCGATACTCACTTAAGGTGCTTTCTGGGATTCTTTCGCTTCGTGCTCCTTGAGGGTGAAACTCTGGGGGACTCCAGAGTCAGACACGGAGGACGAGGGCCCGAAGTGTTGGTCTGACCCCCAAGTGCCACTAGAGCGAGGACCTGGGCCCCTCCCAAAGCCGCCTGTCTGAAGTTGCTGATTTAGCTTGGTCTGTCTGCTTCCTTCCCAGGTACTGGCGGCGGAGGCTGGGCATGCAGGTCCGCTACGTTCAGCATGAAGGCTACCAGTTCTGCTACTCCTTCCGTGGCAGGCCGGGCCACAGACCCTCCCTCCTCATGCTCCACGGCTTCTCCGTGCACAAGGACATGTGGCTCAGCCTGGTCAAGGTGCAGCAGGGAAGGGTTTCCACTTGGAAGTACTGTCCTCGGCAATGGTAGAAAGCAAAGGGGGCCCAGAGCTGTGGCTCACATATCTCAAAACTAATGTGATATATGAGTCAAATCCTTTTATCAGACAAAGTTTATTGAGTGGAATGTTATTTGTAAAATCTGTGTCTTAGAAATCATTTGACCTTATGAGTATTTCCTAAGAAAGTTTTTTTTTTTTTTAAATCCTCACCTGAGGACATTTTTTTTTTTTTTTACATTTATCTTCAGATACAGCAGGAGGGAGAGAAGAGAGGAAGAGAGACACACATCAACTGGTTGCCACCCACATGACCTGGGGATGAACTGCAACTGAGGTACGTCCCCTTAGCAGGAACTGAACGGGGGCCTCTCTGGTCAGTGGGCTGACACTCTAACTGCTGAGCCAAACCAGCCAGGGCCCTAGGAAAGGTTTCTGATACTTAACTTTTTCTCAGAACTCTCATTCTCAAGATCAGGCTTAAAAAAAAAATTATTCTTTTATACTCCAAGTTTCTCCTCCTCCCTCCCTGACTTCTCCCTTTTGCCGCCGCCTCCTTCTCCCTTCCCTCCTCCTCCCCTCCTTTTTCTATTTTTGCTTTCTTTAATCCTCACCCAAGGACATTTTTGCATTTATCTTCAGATAGAGCAGGAGGGAGAGAGAGAATCATCGATGTGAGAGAGACACATCAACTGGTTGCCACCCACATGACCCCAACCGAGGCTGGGGACAAACTGTAACCGACGTACGTGCCCTTAGCAGAAACTGAACCCAGTAGTCTGGTCTGCGGGCTGATGCGTTTTTTTTTTTAGTTCCTTAGCCATATAGAAATATGGTCTTGATTTGGCAGCTTTCTGGGATAGTTTTCCAAATTGCTCACTTTCTGTGTAGTTTACTCGGGCGTGGCAACTTGCCTTACTTGGTAAGCATGACCAGCTGGTGAAGGTTGGGGCTGGGAGGAATCTTGGGAGGGAAGTAGCCCAGGCTCCCACCTCACACAGGACTATGCCTGAAGGACCACAAGGATGATCTACAACCAGGAGGAAAAGGCCCACACATCCTCTAGTTACCTGTGCTCTTATTTCCAAAGTCCACTGTGAGGACGGTCATCCTCATGCCTTATGACCCTCTCACCTCCTGTCCTCACTTCAGATAAGCATCTTTCATATAATTGGGTATTTGTTTATTGATAACTGATGTTTCTCAGTTTCCTGGTTAAATACGGCACATATTTAAATGGGAGAAGGTGTTTTAGGATAGTGATCACCTCAGGAATTAGACCTTAATACAAAAAAACAAAAGTTGAAACCAGAATCAGGGTGATCAGATATAGTTCTTAAAGAAAGCCTTGCACCCGGCTGGTGGCTCAGTGGTTGAGCGTCGACCCATGCACCAAGAGGTCGCCGGTTCGATTGCCAGTCAGGGCACATGCCCAGGTTGTGGGCCAAACCCCCAGTGGGGGGCATGCAGGAGGCGGCCACTGATGTCCTCTCTCATCGATGTTTCTACTTCTCTCTCTCTCAAATTAATAAAGGAAAAAAAGAAAAAGAAAGCCTTGCTCCTGTGGGCTCTGGAGCTGGCCAGGGCTCTAGGAGAACAGAACCATCTCTCCTGCTTCTCAGTTAGTGGCTGAAGGACCGGAGTAAGTGTGGAAAGGGAGGAAAGGGTAGTGAAAAGGAGGGGGCAGTAGTACTGTAATCTGGCATCAAAAGAGAGAGATGCAAGCCTGCTGCCCTGCCCTTGTCCCCCTTTTCCAGCCATCCTCCTGGTCCCCTTCCATCTATGTATTTATTGGTCTTTGCCGGCCTCTGCTCCCTATGAGCTACTGGCCATGCTTATTCCCATTAGTATTACTAGGGTAAAACTCTGGGTGGCCCAAACCCATATACCCCCTGGGACAGGGTTGGCTATCCAGGTTACTTGGTAAGTAGGTGCAACCTTCCCAGAAAAGTGGGCTGACGTTTTCTGCATACCACCTACTGACTCTCTGGATCTGTGTGTCCTTAGTTCCTTCCAAAGAACCTGCACTTGGTCTGTGTGGACATGCCAGGACATGGGGGTACCACCCGCTCTTCCCTGGATGATCTGTCCATAGACGGGCAAGTCAAGAGGATACACCAGGTAAGCAGGGCTCCACCAAAAATTGCCCAGAGTGTGGGTCTTGCCCACCACTGCATGCCCAAGCCTGGAGGGCAGGTAGGAGAGTTCCAAACGGACTCATAACGAGTCTCCAGTGCATTCTGTCAAGTAACGGCAGACGTGGTGGCACCCCAGTGGAGTCCTGTGGAGGGCCAAGGCTTATTTCAGACTGTTCTCCTCTAAGTCTGTTGTACTTGTTTGTGAAGAAATATGATGATCTGGGCATTTTTTTAGCTCTTTGAAAAAGGCATTTAATATTTCTCAAGACCATTTGCCTGGAGTCTGTTTTTCTGCTTACCAACCATGTGATGACAGCAGTAGCCCTTCTGCCTAGCTGTGGGGGATGGGTAGGGTGCTCTTTGCATTTTGCTCTGTTTCAGCATCTATCTCCAGTCCCCCTGTGGCTGGGCTTTCAAGGTCATGGGCTCATGGACCATTTCAGAATTTAATGGCCCAGTTTCAAATTGACATTAGTATTTTCCCTAGACAAGGATATTTATTTAACGTTTGTCTGCTCCCACCTTTAAACTATGTATTTTGATGAGTTCAGGAACCTTGTCTCTTTGCTGTATCTTCTGCAGTTGACCATACTTCCTTGTACATAACAGATATCCAATTAATATTTTTTTAGATAAATAGTTGGATGGATGGTTGGATAGTTAAATAGATGGTTGGGTGGATAGTTATATGAATGGATGAGAGAGACTTTAAATTAGGGCAAGAGTCAGCAAACCATGGCCCATGGGCTATATTTGACCTACTGCCTCTTTTTGTAAGTGAAGTTTTATTGGAACTAATCCATGCTCATTCATTTACGTATTATTTTAGTTGCTTTTGTGCTACAACAGCAGAGTTGAATAGTTGCAGCTGAAATCATATGGCCCACAAAGCAGAAAATATTTACTCTCAGGACCTTTAGAAAAGTTTGCTGACTCATGTTTTAGGAGAATCAGCCATGACCCATCAATCACTTGTGCCAGGTAGAGAGATAAGTACCTGCCTGGCTCAGGGCTCATCTGGATAATGGATCCAGTAGAGGTCTAGACCCCTTTCATCAATAGGTCTTTTCATTTGTCCCCATAGGCAACAGAGGTTTTTTGGCTCTGTAATCACTGTCTCCACTGTCTACAGCTATATAACCAAGCCCCCTTCTCATTTTTCCCCCAGTTTGTGGAATGCCTCAAGCTGAACAAAAAACCGTTCCACCTGATAGGTACCTCCATGGGCGGCAACGTGGCTGGGGTGTATGCTGCTCACTACCCATCGGATGTCTGCAGCGTGTGTCTCGTGTGCCCTGCTGGTGAGTTACCAGGCTCAGATCCCCGTGGGTGACTGGAGCACAGCAGAGTCTGAATCTCGGATGAGCAAGTGGCCGTGTCTGCTCTGACTGGTTTTTAGAATCATCTTGTGATATGTCCTTCGGAGAGCTATGCAATGCTTTTGTGATAACTAACCAAACACTAGTTGTCTAACCATATCATAATCACACTAACTTTTAAATTATAGAGCCAGACTTGTTCTACAAAGAATTTGGTGGTTAATTAAAATGTGTGTAGTGCCCTGTCCGGTTTGGCTCAGCGGTTGGAGCGTCGGCCTGCGGACCAGAGAGTCCCAGGTTCGGTTCCTGCTAGGGGCATGTACCAAAAAAAAAAAAAAAAAAAGTTTAAAAAAAAAATGTGTGTAGTACTTTGTAGCACATAAATACTTTGAAATATAATGATAATATTAATATCCAACATTTATTGAGCTCTTTTACACTAAGCTCTCTTTTTTTCTAATAATTTTTTTTATTTTGGAGAGAGAGAGAGAAACATCAATGTGAGAGAGAAACATCGATCGGCTGCCTCCTGCACACCCCCAAGGGAATCGAGCCCACAATCTGGGCATGTGCCCTGAGTGGGAATGGACAGGACCTCTCAGTCCATGGGATGACACTCAATCCACTGACCACACCAGCCAGGCTGAACTAAGCCCTTTATATGGAGTTAATTCTCACCGTTACCATAACCTTACAAGGTGAAGGTACTATTATTATGCCTCTCCTCTTTTTTGCTGAAAACTCAGAGATCTTGATTCATTACAAGAGCTTTCTAAAAATCGGCAAACTTTAGTTTCTCTGTTTTTATTTGTACATATGTCAACTTGATCTGTAATATGTCCCTGGAAATTATGATCCGAAGTTGGATTTTTAAAATTCATTTTTCTTACACAGGTCTTTAAACTTGGATTTATAATATATTAGAGAGAAAAATTATAATTTTTCTCTTTTTCCTTCTCTCACTTCCCCTCTCTGTGGTACACCACTGGAATATAATTTACACATAGTAAATTGCCCAAATTTTAAGTGTACATCTCAGTGACTTTTTACATATGTAATTATATCCAGATCAAGATAGTATGCCCATTTATTATTATTTTTTTAAATTTTCACCCGAGGATACTTTTTCAGATATCTTCAGATAGAGTGGGAGAGGGAGAGAGCAAGAGAGAGAGAGAGAGAGAGAGAGAGAGAGAGAAACATTGATGTGAGAGGGACACATCACCTGGCTGCCTCCCGCACGACCCCGACCAGGGCTGGGGACAAACTGCAACCGAGGTATGTGCCCTTGACTGGAATCAAACCTGAGACCCTTTGGTCTGAGGGCCGATACTCTAACCATTGAGCCAAACTGGCCAGGGCTAGTACCCATTTCATTAGTAGGAACATTGAGGTACAAAGAAATTACATAAGTGCCTGAGCTAGAATAGGAACTGATCCTAGGCTGTCCAGCTCCAGAAGCCAAGCTGTGGCTTTTTAGGAAGTCTTTTTGTATTCACTAGCTCCTGTATATATATGACTCATGTCCACTACCTCCTTTATCCACTAGAACCCAGCCTTGAGTTAAACATGTATACCTTCTACTAAAACGGACTAAACTGACCTTTAAAATCTTTCCATCACTCTGATAGTGAACAGTTTTCAGGTCTGTTAAGGACATTGAAATGGAAGTCAAGCTCCCAGTGGGTTTTCTCTTCTCTTTCCAAGTACCATGACTGAAATTATTTGGTCTTTTATTTATTTGTTTATTTTAATTTTTTTTCTTTATTTTGAGAGAGAGAGGAAGAGAGAGAGAGAGCTAGAAACACCGATGAGAGACAACATCGATTGTCCGCCTCCTGTGTGCCCCCCACTGGGGGTTTGGCCCACAACCTGGGCACGTGCCCTGACTGGTAATCGAACCGGCGACCTCTTGGTGCATGGGTCGACGCTCAACCACTGAGCCACACCGGGCTCATTTGGTCTTTTTTTTTTGTCCTCACCCGAGGATATTTCCCATTTTTTGTTCAAAGTGGGAGGGAGGGAGGAAGAGAGAGAGAGAGAGAGAGAGAGAGAGAGAAACATCAACATGAAAGGTGGCCGCCACCCGCATGACCCAGCCAGGGCCAGGGACAAACTGTAACCGAGGTACGTGCCCTTAGTGGGAACCGAACCTGGGTCTCTCTGGACCGCAGGCCGGCGCTCTAACCGCTGAGCCAAACTGGCCAGGGATCATTTGGTCTTTTAATAATAAAGTTTGAGAATGGAGAAACAGCCCCTATGGAAGATTATTAGATTTTAAATCGCTTATGGAAGGTCAGATCTAACTGACTTTTTTGAGTGTATGCTCATTTGCTCAAAGAGTTTTACACCTGAGTTCAGTTGGAAATTTAAGATTGTTTGTTTGTATGTGAAAATGGAAAGATCATTTTTTTTTTACTTGAAATAATTCTAAGGTTTACGGAAACATTGCGAAAATAATACAGCGTCCATCTTCCTTTCATCCAGTTCCTCCCGTCGTTCACAGCTCACAGTCCCACACTAAACTGGTCTCAACTGAAAGCCAACCATGGCACCTCACTGTTAACTAAACTCCAGGCTGCATTTGGATTTTACCAGTTTTTCCATTCGTCTCCTTTTTCTGTGCCAGGATCCAGTGCAAGCTACCGCATGACACTGAGTCTAGGCTTATTCTCAAAGTGAAAGGCAGTGATGGTGCAGTCTGCCCTCGTGGCGCTGTGAAAGCCATATTAGATTTAAAGGAGGTGCTGAATACAGAGGTTTATAAAGTGTGGGTTTCTGCAGCCTAGTATTGATGCCATTGCTTTTCTTTCTAAAATCCGGTTCTTCAGCTAAGTCAAACACCTAGAAATTTGCTCAGTGTTACAAGTGAAAATCAGTTATGCCCTCCTGTAACATCAGCTTGTGTGGACTCTCTCGTGTGGTGCTCCGGGGTGCCGGGGAGAATGGTCCGTCTCAGAGCTTTCTGGTCTCAGCGATCGCCTGGCGCTCTCCTGGAGGAAGGGAGACTGCAGAGGGCAGCCGCTGCCGGCGTGGGGGGGGCTCAGAACGGGACTTGCGCTCACTGTGTTTTGTGTATTGGCCCCAAATAAGAGATTACGAAGTGGGTCCAGGCCAACGGGAGAGGTAGTCAGTCCCTCCAGTTCTCTGGTTTCTTCCCATCATGCATTTCCTGAGATCTCCTCCATGACACAGATGTGACAGGGGCGCGGGCAAGTTGTCTTCTAGACTGATGCTTCTTAAACCTGCCAGACAGACGAATCTCCTGACCATGTCAACGTGCACGTTCTGATTCAGGAGACGTAGGGAGGGGCTGAGCTCTGTATTTCTTATGGGCCCCCGGTGCCTCTGGTCCATGGACTACAGTTTGAGTCACTGGTCTTTAAAATATCTTGAAGGATTTTTTTCTCTGTTTCTCTTCAGAGTGTGGCTTTCACTTTGGGTAAGGATGACAGTACCAGTTAAAAAGGAATCTGGCCCTGGCTGGGTGACCTGGCTGGTTGGAGCGTTGTCCCATTCACAAAAGGTTGTGGGTTTGATCCCCAGTTGGGGCACATACGGGAGGCAACTAATCGACGTTTCTTTCTCAAGTCAATAAAAACATATCCTTGGGTGAGGATTAAAAAAAGTAAAAATTAAATAATATAAAAAGAAATCTGATGAAGGACACCTGAAACATATTAACCCTGGGCTGATGCTGGAAGTTCCCTCTGTAAAATGGGGGTTGGTAAGAAGGTAGATGAATTAATTGCCAAGATGTTTTGGTTTGAATCCCACAGGCCTGCAGTACTCAAGGGATAATCAATTCATAAAACAGATCAAAGAACTGCAGAATATGACCACCTCAGGGAAGATTCCCCTGATCCCGTCCACCCCTGAAGAGATGAGTGAGATGCTCCAGCTCTGCTCCTACGTCCGCTTCAAGGTGCCCCAGCAGGTAATGTGATCTCAGCCGCAGAATGCCTGCCTCTGCCAGAGGCTCGGGTGGCCAGCACCAGCTCCCTTCATGCATCCCTCCTCCCTGGATTATCTATTTATTCGTTCAGTAAGCCTCTATACAGTGTCTGTGACATGTCAGGTTCTGTGTTTGGGCACAGGGGTAAATAAATAAGACAGGAGAGGTTCCTGGGTGGACACAGGCTAGGAAGGAGGAAGACAAGGAACAAGTAAACAAAATCTTACAAATTATAATAAGTGTTCTAGGGTACATGAAGATGGTGCAGTGAATAAAAACAGAGGCAACCGATCAGTGTTTCTCTCTCACATCGACGTTTTTCTCTCTCCCTTTTCTCTCTAAAAGATCAATAAAAACATATTTTAGCCCTGGCCGGTTTGGCTCAGTGGTTAGAGCGTCAGCCTGCGGTCCAGAGAGACCCGGGTTCGGTTCCTGCTAAGGGCTTGTACCTCGGTTGCAGTTTGTCCCCGGCCCTGGATGTGTTGTGTGGGTGGCAGCCACTCGATGTGTCCCTTTCACATCGATGTTTCTCTCTCTCTCTCTCCCTCCTACTCTATCTGAACAAAATATGGAAAAGTGTCCTCGGGTGAGGATAAAAAAAAACATATTTTAAAAAAACAATGGAGGCAGCAGAAGATTTGATAAGCATCTTTGAGGGAATAGCATGTTCAGAGGTAGAAAAAACATAGGCAAGTTCAAGACAGTAAGGAAGCCCAGGGTGCCTGGGGCCTCGAGGATGAGGGAGAGAGTGGGATGGACGAGGCTGGAAAGGGAAGCAGGAGCTACATCAGAAATTCTCAACTTTTTAAAAATCTCACGACCACTTTATACTTTCAAAAGTTATTGAGAACCCCATAGAGCTTTTGTTTGTGAAAGTTATAACTATTGATATTTATCATATTAGAAATTAAAACTCAGAAAAACTTAAAACAAGACAATAGACGCACTCATTGCATTAGCCATCAGAGTGACATTATCCATTGTTATGTAGACCCTGAAAGATTGTCTGCTTCTGAGAGAATCAAAGCGAAAGAGGCAAATACCATTTAGTAGGATTATGAAAATATCTTGACCTCATGGACTCCCAAGATCCTCTTTGAGAACCACCGGGCCAGATCATGTAGCGCCCATAGGTATGAGAAGGTGTCTGGGTTTCTCAAAGTACGATGGGAGAAGCCCTGAAGGACGGTAGGGCAGTACAGACAGAGGCTGGGAAGCCGGCGGTGTTGCTGTGGCTTGGAGGTGATGGTGGTGCGGGCCAGGGTGGTAGCAGTGGGATAGGGGTGCGAGATGCTTTGAGAGGACATACTGGAGGAATGCGGGAAGGTGAGGAGTCACAGGTGACTTCTGGTACTTGAGCTGGATAAAGGCAGCCCTTTCTGAATAGGAGAAGGAAAGGGGGTGGTGAATTTGGGGGACAAGATAAAAGTTTCATTTGGGGCATGTGAGGTTCAAGCTGCCTGTGAGGACTCAGTGCAGATGTCAAGTAGGCAATTGGATATACAAGTGTTGCTGAGGGAAGTCTGGTTGGAGCTAGACAATTAGAGCCACCAGCTGATGTTTTTATTAAAGGACCTGAGTCTGCATGAGGTCATCTAGGGAAAGAGTGGAAAACCAAGAGAGGAGAGGCCCTGGCTGAGGCTTCATAAGAGCCGATCATCTCCCTCTGTTGTAGGAGCTGGACCTGCCTCAGGGGGTGGGTCCTCCTAGGAGGTGAGGGAATGGACTCTATTCAGAGGTTGTTAACATAACTCAATTAATAGGTGTGCCCTGTCTCCGAGGAAGCACCCAGAATCTGATTCTGTGTATATTTTATCCCCGAAATCCTTTGTAGTGGTGAAGCTGCACTGATCCCCTCCCTCCAAGCACTGATCTCTTCCCAGAATAGTGGCCAAACAGTTTTAGAAATTGTCAGGGATATGACAGTACCAAGAGAAAATAAATGGCAGCTTCAACATCTTTCCCTTCTAGGAGAGAAGGAGCACCCAAGCATCCAGTGTTATGATTGTCTCTTTGTATCTTCCACTCTAAGCTCTGTAAGATCAGGGACTTTGTCTTAATTGGCTGTTCTATCCCCAGCCTTTGGCACAGTATTTGCATAAAGTAGCTCCTAGGTACAGATTGGATGGATCAGTGGAGGCAAGGATGCCTGGCTAATGCAGGGATGGAGCATGGATATGTGGGTGCATGCAGGATAGGTGGATGCATGAAATGATGCATGTGCATGCATAGTAGACTTAGGATGCAGGGTAGATGGATGGCTGAATGCTTGCTTGGCTAGATAGGACGATGCCTGGGGAATGCAGGGATGGAGAGTAGATGGATTGGTGGATGCAGGTAGATGGATATGCTTGTTGACTTTTAGAGAGAGGAAAAGGGAGGGAAAGAGAGAGAGCGTGGTTGCCCCCCTATGTGTCCCAACCGGGGATCAAACTCAAAACCTTTTGGCATATGAGATGACGTTCTAACCAACTGAGCCACATTGGCCAGGGCTCAACAGTTTAAGTTTTTTAAATAGACCTTATTCTGCATTTGAATATCATTGAGCAGTTATTTAATATTGTGCTGTAGCATAGGAATCCAGGGGACCAGGCCTTAAAAACCTTGACACTACCATGAATGTTGGGCCTTTATTTCCTTTATTGTCCCAGAACCATGAGGAACCTGAGGGAATGTATCTTCTCTCGCCTTCTAACTTCAGATTATTTGTCCTTAGATCCTGCAAGGCCTTGTCGATGTCCGCATCCCTCATAACGACTTCTACCGAAGGTGTGAGTAGCCCTGCTTTAAGCTTTCAGCTGTGACAAGTGAAGCTTTATGGGTAGCTGGCTTTTATTTCTTGTATTCTGAGTCTGTTTTCTTGAGCCCCTGAAGAGAGAAAGCGATGGCTTGAATCTGATGACTGTACTGTACAGTGGTGCCCATGGACACAGCCCAGAATTTGCTCACTTTGTTTTCCTTTTCTAAAGTGTTTTTGGAAATCACCGGTGAGAAGTCAAGATACTCCCTCCAACAGAACATGGACAGGATCAAGGTCCCAACGCAGATCATCTGGGGGAAACAAGACCAGGTATGTCGTGTGTCCCTGGGGCCCCTGTGCCAGTTACACCCACCTCTGAAGAAGAGCAGAGCAGGTGGCTTTTTATATAGTCTGGCCCTGGCTGGTTTGGCTCAGCGGTTAGACTGTCAGCCCTTGGACCAGGTTCAGTTCCAGTCAAGGGCATGTACCTGGGTTGCAGGTTTGATCCCTGGCCCTAGTCAGGGTTGTGGGAGGCAAGCAGTCAATGTGTCTCTCTCACATCGATGTCTCTCTCTCTCTCTCCCCTTCTCTCCCCCTGTTCACCACCTCCCCCTTCCTGCTTTCTCTAAAAATCAATGAAAAAAATTATCCTCAGGTGAGGATTAACAAAATAAACAAATAAAATAAAATGAAAGGCAATTATAAATAATTTTTACAAATTATTTTTATCAAAATCACCTGGTTCAAAACACTTCAGAGAATACAAAAAGGTTTAAAATGAAAATGCCAGATCCCAATTTGTGTTTCCTTGAGGCAACAACTTACTGTCCTGTGTGTATAAATTTTTTTTAAGTGTTTTTCTTCTTCTTTATTGATTTTAGAGAGAGAGGATAGGAGAGGGAGAGAGAGAGAGAAACATCGATGAGAGAGAACATCGATTGGCCACCTCCTGCATGCCCCCCACTGGGGATCAGGCTCACAACCTGGGCATGTGCCCTGACCAGGAATTGAACCAGCAACCTCTTGGTGCCTGGGTCGACGCTCAACCACTGAGCCACACCAGCTGGGCGTATTTCTTAAATTTTCTAAGGCAGGGGTTGGCAAACATTTTCTGTAAAAGGCCAGATAGTAAAATTTACAACTTTGTGGGCCATGAGATCTGTCAAACTACTCAGCTCTGCTGTCATTGTGTCAAAGCAGCCACAGACAACACACAAACCAATGACGGGTGAGTCCCAGGGGACCTTTGATGACAAAACCAGCAGCTAGCATCTGCCTCCTATTCTTAGTGTGCACACATATGCATGAGAGGTTTTATATGTAAGTTTTTCAAACATGCTGCATACACGGTTTTGCATCTTATTTTACATTTATAAGAAATATGTACCTTGGAAATTATTTCATATCAGCCCATACAGATCTAATCAGTCTATTTTTTAAAGTATTTTGAGCCCTGGCTCATGTGGCTCAGTTGGTTGAGTGTCATCCTGTGCACCAAAGGGTTGCTGGTTCGATTCCTGGTCAGGACACATACCCAGGTTGCAGGTTTGATCTCCAAAGCAGTCAATTGATGTTTCTCTCCCTCTTCCTCTCCCTTCTTCTCTCTCTAAAATCAATAATAATATATATTAAAAACACAAATAAAAGCCCTGGCCAGTATGGCTCAGCTGTTAGAGTGTCAGCCCATGGACTAGAGAGTCCTGGGTTCGGTTCCCACCAAGGGCACGTACCTCAGTTGCAGTTTGTCCCCGGCCCCATGGGGTTGTGTGGGTGGCAGCCAGTCGATGTGTCTCTCTTACATCGATGTTTCTCTCTCTCTTCCTCCCTCTCTCCTTCCAGCTCTATCTGAAGATAAATGCAAAAATGTCCTCGGCTGAGGATAAAAAAAATAAAAATAAAAAAAACACAAATAAAATATTTTGAAATAATTTCTAATTTACAGAGAAAGTATAAGAATAGTACAGAGTACTGTATACACATTACCTAAATTCACCAATTTTTTTTTTTCTCACCCGAGGACATTTTTTTTTTTTCTATTTTTTGTTCAGATAGAGTGTGGGAGGGAGAGAGAGAGAGAGAAACATCGACGTGAAAGGGACACGTCGAGTGGTTGCCACCCACACGACCCAACCAGGGCCGGGGACAAACTGCAACCGAGGTACATGCCCTTAGCGGGAACCGAACCCGGGTCTCTCAGGACCGTAGGCCGACGCTCTAACCGCTGAGCCAAACCGGCCAGGGCTAAATTCACCAATTTTTAACTGCTTTATTGAGGTAGGATTTACATGCTGTAAAACTCACCCAGGTATATGACACTGCCGCTCCCAGAAGGTCCCTCTGTAGTTCATCTCCGCTCTCACCCCAGCCACCGCAACCACTGATGTTTTCTGCTTCTATAGTTTTGCCTTTTCTAGAATTTTCATATAAACGGCATCAAATAATTTGTCATCTTTTGCATCTGACTTCTTTCACTCAAGCTTGTTTTTGAAGTTCACCCATGTTGCACATATCAATAGTTCCTTTTTCTTGCTGAGTATCATCCATGGTGTCTGTTACCACATTGTATTCATTACTCGTGTTTTAACTTTGCCACAGTGGCTTTATCATTCTCATCTTTCTCTCTAGAAGTATGTATTTTTGGACCATGTGGAGTAGCTTGCTTACATTATGCCTCTTGCCCCCAATACTTCAGGTATATTTACTGAGAACAAGAATATTCTCTCACGTAACCATTATCACATTCAGAAAATTTAACATTGGTGAGTTGTTTTTATCTAATCTACGATCCACATTCCAAATTCATCAGTCATTTCACCCTACACAGAATCCTCCTCTTCCTCCTCCTGGCTCCCGAACCAGGATTTAATCCCTAGTCACACACTACATGTTATGCCTCTTTAGTCTCTTTAATATGAAACGATCCCTCACTCTGCCTTTGTCGTTCATGATGCCGAGATATTTAAGAGTACAGGCCAGTTATTTTATGAAGTGTTCCTTAGTTTCAGTTTGTTTGCTGCATCCTCTTGATTAAATTCAGATTATATAGTCCCTGGCTAAAATATCTTGTGAGCTACAAATGTTACATCCTTAGATGCACAACAGGCTGTTGTCTGATTTCTTCCTTGTAGATTTACTATTTCTCCCCTTGCAGCCAATAAGCAGCCTGTGGGAAGACACTTGGAGACTGTCTTCTCCAAGTCAGACATCCTGCTCCTCGTCAAACGTTCCCTCTATGAGTGATTTCCATCCATGAGTGCTTCTTGCTCCAAACATTGTTTTACATTCTTCTTTTTAAGAGCTGCATAGTATTCCATTATATGGTTCTGCCATGATGTTTTTCATTAATGCCCTTCTAATGGTCGTTTAGGTCATTTCCAGCTTTGGCTATTAAACAGTACCTTGATGAGCACCATTATGCATGTGTTTGTGGAGGGTAAATCCTTAGATGTAGAATCACTGGGTCAAAGGGCATATGCATTTTTTAATTTTAATAGGTTTTGTCAGATGGCTTGTTTGAGTGCCAGGGCTGCTGTAACAAAGTAGCACAAACTGGGTGGCTTAACCAGCAGAAATAGATTGTCTCACAGTTCTGGGGGCTAGAAGTCCGAAATCAGGATGCGAGCAGGTTGGTTCCTTCTGGGAGATGTGAAGGGGAGTCTGTTCCATGCCTCTTCCCTAGCTTCCAGTGGTTTGCTGGCAAACTTAGGTGTGCCTTGACGTACAGCTGCCTTACCCAGGTCTCTGCCTTCATCTTCACTTGGTATTGCCCTGTTCCTGGGTGTCTCTGTGTTGAAATCTCCCCTTTTTGTAAAAATGCCAGTCATGTTGGATTAGGGGCCCACCCTGCTCCATTATGACCTCATCTTAACTAATTACATTTGCAATGACCCTATTTCCAAATAAAGTCACATTTTGAAGTACTGGTGGTTAGACCTTCAGCATATGAATTTGAGGGAGACACAATCAAGCCTCCAAAGATATACTGACTTAGGCCCAGAAGCTCCTTTGTTATTTGCAGCTATTCCTTAGCAATCATGTTTCTTACTGAAAGTTCTTCTAAAGTTCAAAGCAAGAGGAGGCGGTGAGAAATGGAGCCCTTACAAGGCCCACAGGCAGACAGCATTATAGTGTCGATTAAAGGGTGTCGTGGAGTCTTTGCTGTTGAATATCTGAGAAAAGGATATTAGAGAAAAGCTGTCTCCTTTGAGACAGTTCCTCTAAGGACCCCTAGGTGAAAGGCGCCATTGTCAGCCCTGCCAGGGCCGGTGGCTCATCCCAACTGTGTCTGCTGATGAAAGCACAGGCAGGAAGTGAGGCTGCCCCACAAAGGCTCGCAACTGTGTGAGATGGCCCAGGAAGGGACGGGAGGAGAAGCAGGCCAGCCCACGGTGTGAGAGGGAGGGGCGATGGCAGCAGCGTGCAGCCAGGTGTGGCCCAGCATGCACCCGAGGGCGGAGGGCATCGCAGGAGGGAGGGCTCATGCTCCCTCCTGCAGCAGCCAAGATGCTGAAAGAAGCTTTGTGTGCACCCGAGTGAGGGAGTCATTCAGTCAGAAATCAGTGAGAACAATGTAGGCCTTTCTTCATTCTAAAAGTCCCAAAGGTGATTCTGGGCTCTCAGGGACCAACAGGGAGAGAGGGAGAGCCCGTCACCTGCAGAGACACTACCGAAAGTACATCACTGGCCTTGGAGTCTGAAAGTCTGGAGTCCAGCCCTGCCTTTGTCCTTGATTAGCCTGTGACCTTGAGCAGGTCACTCAGCTGCTCCAAATCATAGGTTTCTCTTCTACTGGGGTGATTGTGAAACAGCATACACAGGGTGGGGCAAATGTAGATTTACAGTTGTTTGTATGGAAAATAACACAAGATGTGATAAATAATAATACAAGAATAAACTGTTTCATGTGCTCACACCTGTAAACCTGCGTCTGCCCCACTGCGTATGAAGGTGGTCTTTCTCCAGTTATCAGAAATAAATTATTTATTATTTATGTCCTTTTCATCTGATAGCTGGCGTCTGCCCAAGGTCCAGAATTGCCTCTAGGACTCTTAAGTCCATTTGGTTCTGGAAAAAGAGCCCAACATTCTACGGGCCTGCTATAAATATGACCAGGCCCTGAGGGCAGAGGCCAATGGCAGAGATCGCGGGCACTTTATTTCATGGCCTTTTGCTCTCCAAGCTGCCTGGCTCTTTTCCTGCGCTGTCATCAATTTTTGGAGTCACAGACACGCTGCCGGCCAGCTTGAATTCGGTCTCCCTCTTCTTTGGACCCTTGCAGGCCTGCGGAGCCATGCGCACTGTCTTCCATGCGAACCGTACCCCGGATTTGGGCAGTATGTAACCTGCACCCCTGAGCCTGCAGACCTTCCTGAGAGGATTTCTGCACATCCGTTCAAGGATTTCTCCTCTATGTTCAGTCCACCAGAGTGGGAGGGCCTTGGGGAGAGTAACAAGGTGTATTTCTCCTTATGTCGCCTCTCCCTGCCAGCACAGTGCCTGGTACACAAGAGATCCAGAGTACACAGAGAAAGTGAGCAAGAAACTGGATGAACAAACCAACTAGTGAAGGCACAAACCCACCAACTGACTGCCTGTACATTCAGTCAGCTAGCAGATATGTATTGAGCACCTCGTATGCGCCTGACCCTGGATTAGACCCTGGGGGTACAGTAGGGACCAAGACCGACAGGATCTGCCGCTATAACACAAGGCAGGGCTGGAACTCGGGGGAGCTGTGTCGTTAACTCAGGGTCGGATCCTGTCTCTATGATTTTGATATTTTGCTCATGGATCTTTTTTTATTAGCTTTTTTTTTTTTACATTAAAATAGCATTCATCTTGATTACTGAGATTCTTGGCACCCTCTTGTGCTAGAGGCTAGTGCCTCACTTCCCTCACCCGAGTAGGAATGAAGGAAAGTTCACCGTTTATCTGAAGGTCCTGCTAACACATAGGTGCTATGGTTCCCACAGATGTGCGTATCTCATGAGGGCCCATCCAGCTGTTTCACAAGGGTGACCATGGGAATGCTGGATTTGACAGCATAAGTGTCAAAGTTAGAAGCTCAAGTGGGTGTTTTGGCCTATGAGTTATGGTTTCTGATCACCCTATAGGATAGGCACTCAATTGGGAGTTTCTACTTATTCATGCTCTGACCTGTTGACGCCCTGCATTTCTTCCAGGTGTGTTTCCCCAGTAGCTGGGCTTTATTTCTGCTCAGACAGTTGCCACAGCAGCCTTATCTCTGAGAGAGTGACAGGCAGAGGGGTTCAGTTTGCCCCTCTCAGTAAGCTTCCTGTTAGCTGTTTCTTTGCTGCCCAGGAGCCTCTGCATTCTGCTGCCCCATTTCCGAACAGGCGGGAGATCTTGATTTCGATGATGTGGAGTGGTGCGAAGGAAGCTCAAAGACAGACACACTTGCCCTGCTGCTTGGGCTCAGCGGTTCGAGCGTCGGCCCAAGGACCGGAGGGTCTCCGGTTTGATTCTGGTCAAGGGCACATACCTGGGTTGCAGGTTCGACCCCCAGCCCCGGTCTGGGTTGTACGAGAGGCAACCAATTGATGTTTCTTTCTCTCCCTCTCCACCACCCTCCCTTCCACTCTATCTAAGAATTAATGGGAAAATGTCCTCAGGTGAAGATTAACAAAATAAACAAAAACCAGATGGCATAGCACTTGAATTGTTGGGGTTTTGTTTCTGCCCTCTTGTCTGGGGTGAGTTGAAGGTGAAAATGATTAAAAGAAGGGGAGTATCAAAAGGTTTCGGGTTCCATCCCTCGTCAGGGCACTTACAGGAGGCAACCAATTGATGTTCTCTCTTACATCGATGTTTCTCTCTTTATCTTTCTCTCTCCCTTTCCCTCTCTCTAAAAATCAATAGAACAGCCCAGTCAGTGTGGCTCAGTGGTTGAGCATCGACCCAGGCACCAAGAGGTTGCTGGTTAAATTCCTAGTCAAGACACATGCCCAGGTTGTGGGCCCGATCCACAGTGGGGGCATGCAGGAGGCGGCCAGTCGATGTTCTCTCTCATTGATGTTTCTGTCTCTCTCTAAAATCAATCAATCAATACATTTAAAAAAAGAAACATCGATGGGAGAGAATATAAATTGGTTGCCTTCTGCATGCCCCCACCCCCAGGATCAGGCCCACAACCTGGACATGTGTTCTGACTGGGAATCGAACCAGAGACCTCTTGGTGCATGGGTCAGTGCTCAGCCACTGAGCCACACTGGCCGGGCTCCCATTGATGTTTCTATTTCTCCTTTCCTCTGTCTCTAAAAATCAATAAAGAAAAAGAAAATTAAAAAAAAACACCTTAAAATAAATAAATAAATAAATAAATAGAAACCTATCCTCAGATAAGGTTTAAAAACAAAGAGAGAGAGAAAAAGAGGAGAGTGAATGCAAACCCAACGCCAAGCAAGGGTAGAGTAAGTAGGGACTGGCATAATAGCAAGGTCACTGAGGAAAGTGAAATTAAGTGAGTTGTTTGAAAAGTTCAGCCCTGGAAGACGGCGGCTTTCACACTGGAAAAGCATTTCTCATTATTCACAAACTTTAGGGCCTGGGGCCACACTGTTCTGGGGACCCCAATGACCTTCAAAGAGAACTCCCCAGTTGCGGACATTAGTAACTAGTGTTCACTTCTAGTATCTTCACTTTGTCTTTTCCAGAGCTTGGCCCACCCTCATCCAGCCGTCAGGTACATTCTTGGCCCAGCCTGATCATGTCCCTGTTCCTTTTTTTTTAATCCTCACCCAAGGACATTTTTCCATTTTTTGTTCAGATAGAGTAGGAAGGAGAGAGAGGAAGAGAGAGAGAGAGAGAGAAACATCAATGTGAAAGGGACACATCAAGTGGTTGCCACCCACACAACCCAACCAGGGCCAGGGACAAACTGCAACTGTGGTACATGCTGTCAGCAGGTCTCTCTGGACCACATACTCTAACCGCTGAGCCAAACCGGCCAGGGCCATGACACAGCCCCACAGCTCCCCACTGCCCTCAGATTAAGGCCTGACACCCCAACATGGTTAGAGGAGTGGGCCCCCTCCCCCACCTCTTCTTCCCACCATGCCCTCCCCACTCTCTGCCTGCCACGGCCTCCCACTGTGTTCCGTGAATTCTACTCCCACGCTCCCTCAGCGTCTAGGATCCTCCTCCATCAGCGCTCTCCTGACGGCATTTGTTTGCTGATCTGTCTGCCTTTCCTTCTAGACCAGAACCTCCTCATGGGCAGGGACTCTGTGTTTCCACCTCAGTGACACTGGCAGCATCACAACTCCTGGCACCAAGTTGCAGAATAAAATATGAGGCATATAGTCACTTCTATCAAAGAGCCACAGTCCTAACACTTAAGTGACTTGGTCCTAAAACCCCCCTGCCAGGTGTCAGTGGGAGTGCTGTCCACACGGTGCACCCAGGAGTCTGAATCTTTTCCATGTAGTTTTCTCTCTTGTCTTGCAGGTGCTCGATGTGTCTGGGGCAGACACGTTGGCCAAGTCAATCGCCAACTGCCAGGTGGAACTCCTGGAAAACTGCGGACACTCGGTGGTGATGGAGAGACCTAGGAAGACAGCCAAGCTCATTGTCGACTTTTTAGTTTCTGTGCACAATTCGGACAACAACAAGAAGCTGGACTGAGGCCCTGACTGCAGCCTGCAGTCTGCACACCGCACCCATCCCCTTCTCCAAAGTCTGACGCGGCCACCTCTCAGGAATCCTGCCCCAGACGCAGTCAGCGCCGGCGTCCCTGAGGAAGCCAGTGCCCCTGTGCTAGTCAGCTCCGCAGAGCTTGAAGAAGCCTCCAAGATGTTCTTCACAAAATAGAAACTCATATGAAACAAAATTAGAAAACCCAGCCTTGAAATCTGAGAAGTCTTTAGGTTCGTGTCACAAAGCGGCCGCCTTGAACAATAATCACCAAGGACATCATTTTCTTTTCTTTTTAAAAATATTTTTTTCTGTATTCATTTTTAGAGAGGGGAAGGGAGAGGGAGAGAGAGAGAGACACATCGATGAGAGAGAACATCGATTGACCGCTTTCTGCATGCCCCCCACTGGGGATCGGGCCCACAACGTGGGCATGTGCCCTGACTGGGAATCGAACTGGCGACTCTTGGTGTGTGGGTCAGTGCTCAACCACTGAGCCACACCGGCTGGGCGACATCATTTTCTTTGAAACGGGTTTTAAAGACTGAGACTTGAGGTATTTCTGTTGCTTCAGACGTTGTCCCCTGCATGGGCAGTGGTTATTTTAGGAGCATTAGTCCCACTCGCTGAGCTCTGTTCATGTCTAAGTTTTACATAGAGACCCATACGTGAATGCAGTCCGGCAGCTGCAAGAGCAGGCTGGAAAGTGGCAAGCTGTAGAAGACATTTCCACACACACACAAGGGCAGCCCCACCCTGGCTGGAGCAGCAGGGAACGTACCTGCCACATTGGGGGTTGGATCAGCCCCATGTGCCAGCTGTACCTCGAGTGAACTCACCGTCAGTGTGAAGAGCAGGGTGGGTTTCCTGGGAATAACTTATTTTTAAAATTAGGACTAATGAAGCAATAATTAGACATCGATCTAAATAGTCAGATTTGGGTCTAAATAATCAGACTGACCCATGCACCAAGCACCTCGTGGGCCTCTCCTATGTGGCTGTGCTACTGAAATCCCTTGGATGTAAAATACTAGCTTGTTAATGAATTCTGTGAACAGTAATGTGATCGAAAGCAAGTCTACACAGCTATGAATGACCACAGTGACATGAAATAAACTTAATTCTAGATTAGCAACATGCAGACAGTTGCTATTTCTAAGCTCTTAATTATGTGCAATGTTGGCAGATCTTCTGTTAACTGTGTTGAGTGTGCTTTAAGTAAGGCTGTTTTGCCCTAGCTGATGTGGCTCAGTGGTTAGAGTGTCAGCCCGCGGACTGAAGGGTTGTGGGTTAATTCTGGTCAAGGGCACGTACCTAGGTTGCAGGTTTGATCCTCAGCTCAAAGCGTGTTCAGGAGGCAACCAATCTATGTGTTTCACATCAATGTTTCTCTCTCTCTCTCTCTCCCCCTCTCTCTAAAAACCAATGGAAAAAATATACTTGGGTAAGGATTAACAAAAAATAAAATAAGGCTTTTTCTATAGGCATTGGAAGGCCTTGCTTAGATGACGTATTAATAAGTTTCGTTTTAGGAAATCATGTTTAGCCCTGGCCAGGTGGCTCAGTGGATTGGAGCACTGTCCCAAAAGGTTGGGGGTTCGATTCCCAGTCAGGGCAGATACAGGAGGCAACTAATTGATGTTTTTCTCTAACATCTATGTTTCTTTCTCTCTCTCTAAATCAATAAAAATATATCCTCAGGTGAAGATTAAAATAAAAAAGAAATCATGTTTACAGTTTTTATTCAGTTGAAATGGTATATCAAAAACAGAGGGTGAGAGTCGTCTAACGGTTCTCCCGGCCGTCTGCTGCTGCAGCTGGGAACCCTACATTCTCCAGGAGCTTCACCTTTCAGATCTCGTCACGGAGAATCTGCAGCCAAGTAATTCTGGCTATAAAGTGAGGTGAACTTAATAGTTCAATTTGGAATTCAGGACTTGATCTGAATGTTTTAATTTATCAGAAGATAATAAAATATATCTTTAAAACAAGATATGAAAATGACATATGTGGGATTGCAGATGAAGCAGTGTTCAGAGGGAATTTTCTAGGCCTCGATCCATATATTAGAAAGGAAGAAAAGCTGAAAATCCGTCATTTAAGTCTCCATTTTAAGAAGCTAGAGAAGAAATAGTAAATCAACCCTAGAAAAAGATGGAAGGAAATAGTACAGATGAGAGCAAACATCAGTGAAATAGCAAAGAAAGTCAATAGACCTCTACTTGTTCCAATCTCCCTCCTTCACAAATTCTGAGCTGAGGGAGGTTCTGGGAGAGAGGGTCAGTCTTGGGTCTGGGTCACCAAAGCGACACAGACCTGGGTCAGAACCTCAGATCTGTGGCCCTGCGAGGTGCAGGAACTGTGCTGGGGTGAACAGCAGCTCAGGATCACCTGCACAGGGGCCCAGGGAAGGCCCGTGGGCAGCGTCTGCAGCAGGACCCGGCTCCCGCCTCTTCCACTGTCACCGGAAATCACTGTCTGGAAGTCAGGAGCAGAGCAGGTAAGAGTCATTTGTGACAAACCCATGAAGTGGGTTTTTAAGGTTCTCCCTTCGTCCTGCAATTCTGGCCCCACCACACAGGAAAACTCCAAAGCAGAAAAGCACAGCTCCCCCCTGCACCCCAGTTCCTGCCTTTGTGATTATGAAGAGCCTGCTGGTTACTGCCAGCTGGCTGCCCCCCCCCCCCCCAAGCCACACCACGCTGGGCCCTGTGTTGTGTGTCTTTAATGACAGTCTTGGAAAGAAAAAAGGGGTCATTCATCATAGCCCTGCCTGAAAGACTGCCAGAAGCTTCTGAAATAAGAACTTTGGGAGGCCCCAGCAATGCAAGTGGGCTTTTGCTCCCGCTGCCTGGAGTCGGCCTTCAGGTGCTGAGGATGGGCTCTCTGGGCAGGAGTTGATGAGGTGGGGGGGCAGGCGGGGTTAGAACTCAATTTGCCATTAGTCTGAGCTGCTTATCCGAGGCAGAGTTGACAGCAGGAGTGACTGATGCCAGAGACACATCGCTTTGATGGGCTGCCCGTGAGAGTCTGTCCTCCCGTTAAGCTCCTGGCTAGTGCCCTCCCAGGGAACCTTGTTGCTTTGTCCACGGGGGACTCCCAGAAAGTACTGGCAGGTTGTAATGCACGGCAAACCCAGCCTGGAGGCAGTCTTCCAGGCATTTTCCATCTAACCCTTGTCAAGCTCTCACACACCCAGAGGTGCACATGACCTGTGCCGAGAGAGCAGGCATGGGGAGAGGTGAAAGGTCTCGCCCAAGGTCACATAGGTAACAAGCAGAGTGAAACCTCTTGGTTTAGGATCAAAGGTGACTTGCAAAAACAATGCTTTTAGTTTGGGAGGAGCTCTGGCCCAATTTCCAGTGGGACCCGGGTCACTTTTGGCTCACCTGGATGAGGCCAGTGTGTGGCAGCTTCAGCCCCAGGTCACTGAGGCCGCACCTTAGGCCCTTTCTGAGAATGGTGACCCAGTTATTCCGCAAATAGTGAGGGCTCTCCCATCACCCAGCCTCCTGCTAGGCAGGAAACAAGGTCACCTGGCTTCCAGCATCGTCCTGAGGGTGCTACAAGGGACCGCCTGCCCCCCTCAGTCCAGCCTCTATAACTGCCAGGACGGCTGTTATACCCTCCCTGGAAGAGCTCATTCACCTTGCCCGTGCTCTGGAAATGATCATCAGAAGTCTCCTCGGCACTTCTGGTTGCCCCTGGGGGTAAAGCTCGTAGCTGCCTGGGGTCAGTGCAGGTGTCTTTGAAGAGGAAGGTCAAAGTGCTGGACTTCTTACCGGTCAGGGGCTTTCCCACTGCCTTCAGACAAACTTTAGATTTAAATTAAACACAAATGCTGAGTTTAGGCCCCCTTATTTACTTTCCAAGACCTAGGTATTGATCTCAGGACAATCACAAGTTGGTAAGTTAATTAACATTGTTCTAAAATGACGTATGCAGGTTTTAACATCCACAGGTATAAGCCTTCTGCTTTGGGACACTTCCTGTACTAGACAGAGAAGTCTTTTATTAAAAGTAGCAGTTCAGTCCAGCCGATGTGGCTCAGTGGTTGAGTGTCGACCCATGCACCAAGAGGTTGCCAGTTCGGTTCCCGGTCAGGACACATGCCCAGGTTGTGGGCCCAATCCCTAGTGGGGGGCATACAGGAGGCGGCCAATTGATTTTCTCTGCCATCGATGTTTCTATCTCTCTCTCCCTCTCTAAAATCAATAAAGAAAAAAAAATGTTAAAAAAGTAGCAATTTAGCCCTGGCCGGTTTTGCTCAGTGGTTAGAGCATTGGCCTGCGGACCATAGTCCCAGGTTTGGTTCCTGCTAAAAGCACATACTTCAGTTGCAGTTTGTCCCCGGCCCTGGTTGGAGTCGTGTGCATGGCAACCAATTGATGTTTCTCTCTCACATTGATATTTCTCTCTCTCTCTTCCTCCTCTCTCCCTCCTGCTCTGTCTGAAGATAAAGGCAAAACTGTCCTCCGGTGAGGATAAAAAAAAAAATTAGCCCTGGCCGGTTTGGTTCAGTGGTTAGAGGGTCAGCCTGCAGACCAGAGAGTCCTGGGTTCGGTTCCCACTAAGGGCACGTACCTCGGTTGCAGTTTGTCCCCAACCCCATAGGGTCGTGTGGGTGGCAGCCAGTCGATGTGTCTCACATCGATGTTTCTCTCTCTATTCCTCCCCTTCTCCTTCCAGCTCTATCTGAAGATAAATGCAAAAACGTCCTCTGGTGAGGAAATAAATAAATAAATAAATACCAATTCAAAGAAACGGGAAGGGAAGGGAAGAAGGGAAGGAAGAGAGGAAGAAAGAAGAGCGAAAGAGAGAGAGAAAGATAAAGAAAGAGAGAGAAAGGAAGGAAGGAAGGAAGGAAGGAAGGAAGGAAGGAAGGAAGGAAGGAAGGAAGAAAGAAAAGAAAGAAAGAAAGAGAGAAAGAAAGAAAGAAAGAAAGAAAGAAAGAAAGAAAGAAAGAAAGAGAAAGAAAGACACAAAAAAGGTAAAACAAAAAGAGATAAAAAGAAAAAAAAAAGTAGCAATTCAGCCCTGGCTAGTGTGGCTGAGTTGGTTGAGCATCATCCCACGCACAGAAGTCACTGGTTTGACTCACTGTCAGGGCACATGCTAGAGTTGTGGGCTCCAGCCCCAGTAGGGGGTTTGCCGGAGGCAGCTAATGTTTTTCTCCCTCTCCCTTCCTCTCTAAAAATCTACAAAAACATATTTTTTAAAAGTAGCAATTAATTGGGTCTGCTTCAGAATGTTTGCTGAAATACTGTTTGGCCAGGTTTGGGTGCATTTTTTTTTAACTCTCTCAGCGCCCCCCCCCTCCCCCCCGCCTCTCATCCCATCTGTTTCATCACTCGTATCCATCTCACATCCA